TACACGACATTTTTCCTAGCTACTTTAAAGGAGACATTATCATTTATAAGACACCTCATGAGTGTTCCTGTTCTCCATCTGTTACTAGATATAGTTTAGGGCAGGGGTGCTCAAGCCTCAGCCTGTGAACCAGATCTGCCCTGCGGTGCCATGTCATCTAGTCTGAAGGGCTTCCCACAAATCCCTGGGTAGCTCTATTGGACATGGTCCTACATTCTAGGTTGGGTATGCAGGGAAGCACATGGGGGGCAGTGTGGGCCCCCAGAGGCTGATCCTGACCACATGGCAGTGGTGCAGGGCCTCAGGAGCCCACTCCTAGCTGAGCAGAGGTGGTACAGGCCCCTGGAGCCTAATCCTACCCAGTCAAAGGTTATGCAGGGTCTCCAGAGCCTGATCCCAGCTGGGCGGACCTCAGCGTGGGGCATCCAGGCTCCAATCCCAGCATGGTGAGTGGTATGGAACCCAGTCTGGCCCACAGACTGGCACCATGCCATTCATCTAGCCCACAGGGCTAAAAGCCTGAGCACAGTGGTTTAGGGGTTTATTTGTTCAGATGTATATTGACTTTGTTAGTGTTTTATCTTTTTTGTTAGTGTTTCATCAGGAAACACTATTTTGACACACATTTCTTCTCTGGTCTTTCCCTCAATTCCTTGAGTAGCTCCTCCTAGTTTACTTTCTGGTTCCCTTTCCTAACTTTCTGCTGCTGCCTCACATACTTAGAGTCTGTGCTTTCCCAGATTGCTACTCAGATATTCTTTTTCTTGCTACTAAACTAGATGTCTGGGGGCTCACACATCCCCATGTTTCCTGTTTTGCCAAATGTTCAGTGTCCAGTTGCGTGTCTGGCTGTGCAAGGCATTTTGAAGAGTCAGGGTCAGCATTATAGGCAGACAGGGTTTAGTTCTGCTATAAAAGAGTTTAGGGAATTTGTCCAGTGTACTACAAAGCTTCTTAGGCCTTATTCTATGGAGCCACGCTACAGTTCAGTGAACACTTAATCGCACCACTAGTTCTGTTGACTAGGGGAACTGTCCATATATTTGTCGTTAATCACAAGCCTAAGTGCTTTGGTTCATGGGAGCCTCATGGTCTATTACAAAACTTTTGTATGTTCACAGGATTTTCAATGTAGATATTTTGGAGAGCTTAAGCATGTGATGTGCTAGGTGCCCTCAGGTCCTGTTGAAGTTGAAGGAGATGAAATTGTGTTGCATTCCAGAGACAGCATCTTCTGTAATTAGGGCTTGGGAGAAAAGAGACAGTGTAGTGATTACACTAGATAAGAAATCAGGAATTATTTATGTGTAAGGCTTTTATGAGAATTAAGTCATTATTATAAGCAGTTAGTCTCCGTAGCAGTGCAAAATATCTGTTTATTCACAGATGTGGATTTTGAAGATGATTCTATCCATTCATAAGCTGATGACAACTAAAGCCCTTTCTATGAAATGGCACTTTGCAACTTTGTTCCTTATTTAAAACCATTTACAATCAGGACACGTTGCAATTTGAATCAAATGCAAGAATTATCTCCTGAAATCTTGCCTGGGATGAAGAAAAACAAATTTAATTTTGAAGAGTGGGACAGACAGTTTGTCAAATCTGGTTCATGGAAAATACAAATAGTTGGATTACATTTAAGAGCTTTGATTCACACAAGTTTATATGAAGACACAGGTGGTGCAAACACTCTGAAAATAAGACTCCTTCCATGTCAACCTGTTTTACTCTCATATTCTTACTTGACCGTCATTAAAATTGAATATATGACAGTGAGCTCATCGTGACGGATGCATCTGGTAAGAGCTTGAAATCATAGAATCATAGAAAATTAGGGTTGGAAGGGAGGTCATGTAGTCCAACGCCCTGCCCAACTAGATCATCCCAGCCAAGGCTTTGTCTAGCTGGGTCTTAAAAACCTCCAAGGATGGAGATTCCAGTCTCTCTGGGTAACCTGTTCCATTTTTACTACCCTCCTAGTGGAAAATTCTTCCTAATATCTAATCTAAAGTTCCCTTGCTGCAACTTGAGACTATTGCTCCTTGTTCTGTCATCTGTTACCACTCAGAGCAGTCTAGCTCAGGGGTTTTCAACCTTTTTTAAGGAGTTGTACCCCTTCTGATGGGTATCCCGTCTGCAGTGTACCCCTTCCAGGTGGGGGGAGGTGTGCTGATGGCCAGCGCACAAGTGGTGGGGGTGGGGGGTTCTTATGGCTGGCCAGACATGAAGCTGGCAGTGGCACGCAGTGGTGAATGGCAAGAGTGGGCAGCTTGGTCGCAACGGCAGGGGCCGCCATTCACCACTTTGCGCCGCCACCACACACCGCTTCCCTGTGCTGCCGTGCATATCCCCTGGGACTGTCCCAAGTACCCCCAAAGATACACGTAGCCCCGGTTGGCAACCCCTGGTCTAGCTCCATCCTCTTTCAAACCATCTTCAGGTAGTTGAAGGCTGCTATTAAATCCCCTCTCAGTCTTCTCTTCGCTAGACTAAATAAGCCGAGTCCCCTCAGCCTCTCCTCAGAAGTCACATGCCCCACAGAACACAGTACTCCAAATGTGGCCTCAACATTGCTGAATAGAAGGTAATAATCACTTCCCTTGACCTTATGGCAACCCCCTTACCAGTATAGCCCAGTATGCCGATAACCTTCTTGGCAACATGGACATACTACTGGCTTCTTTTCAGCTTATTGTACACTGTAACTTCCAGGTCCTTTTCTGCAGAGCTGCTGCCCAGCCAGTCAACCCCCCAGCCTGTACTGGTGCAAGGGATTGTTCTATCCTAAGTGCTGGAGTTTGCACTTGTCCTTATTGAAACTCATGAGATTCCTTTTGGCCCAATCCTCCAATTTGTCTAGGTCACTCTGAATCCTAGTCCTGTCCTCCAGCATATCTGTTACTCCCCCCGGCTTGGTGTCACCTGCAGGCTTGCTGAGGGTGCACTCTGTGGGGTATGAGATTGCAGTCTGGGGTCTTCTTGAGGGCCAGCTACATTGGGGGACAATTTGAGTAACCAGTGGGTGGCTAATAATGCTTCCTAAGATGGAATTTAGCAATTGTTGGAGTGGATCACTACATCAGGCATGCTCCTTTCCCCCTTAATATTGTTCCTGTGTTAAGGAGGGGCATGAGTTGCCGTGCTAGAGCAATTATGCTACCTTGAGCCCACCTGGAGATCATACAACACCACCTAAACCCTTGCCACACACTGCTTAGCCCCTTTTTGCTCCCCAAAAGGGTCAGGTCCTAGAGATCATATAGCATCTATAATGGTAGCAGGAAGGCAATGTTAAGAACAGTTTAAAATACTGGAGTCCTTTTCTCTCTGAGGCTAAATCATTGCCATGAAAGCCTATGGAGCTCCCCACAGGTACAAAATACTGTCTAGTTAGCCCCATGATTTACCCATATTAGGTTCCATGATATAAATGAACCGTGTTGCTGCTAGAAATAAACTGACAACCAAAAACATACCACAGATTAACAAAGCTAGTCCAAATAAATATGCTTAGTTTCATAGTTTCATAGTTTCTAGGGTCGGAAGGGACCTGGGCAGATCATCTAGTCCGACCCCCTGCCATGGCAGGAAAGAGTACTGGGGGTCAAACGACCCCAGCAAGATGGTCATCTAACCTCCTCTTAAAAACCCCCAGGGTGGGAGCCTGCACCACCTCACTTGGAAGCTGGTTCCAGCCCCTAGCCGCCCTGACCGTGAAGTAGCGCCTCCTGATGTCCAACTTAAACCTTCCCTCCGCCAGCTTGTGACCGTTATTCCTGGTCACTCCTGGCGGCGCT